TGGCAATGGCAGGAACTCCAGGAGTAACAACCCCTTTCCTTACCGAGTCATCCTTCCCCAAGTTGTTTCCATCACGCTTGTCAAAATAATTCTCGGATTTTCTGTGGTTTAGGGCTCGGAGAACCCTACAACTCAATTGGTTGTGACCAAACTTTTTACAATGAAAGCAATAGTTTGGAAGGCCTTCGTACACAACCTTTTGAGTAAATTCTTCTCCATCTGAGAGAGAAACCACAAAGGATGTAGGGAGCTCCTTAGACATGTCAACCTGAATCAACATTCTACAATAGCTCAACCTTCCCTTATTTTTCGTTCCTCCGTCGGTGCGTATGGGGGTTCCCACTCTAGACCCCAAGCACTCGAAGGCAACAGCATTCCACAATTTCAAAGGAACATCAACATATTTAACCCACACATTGACCGTCATAAATGCATCAAAATCAAAGTGAAACCCTTCCGGAAGAATGCGCAGTAAAAGTGTCTTACCATAGAGGACGTATGGCCCATTATGGAGAACTTTTCTACGGTCTTCATCACTCAAAAACTGGAAGATCACCCAGCCTTTTTCATGAGGATAAATCTTGCACTCTAAATGCCATGAGGAGATCAACCCCTCTATGGCTTTGATGCCCGGAAACCGGCCTGTGAAACAGCCCACAAGGCAGAACCCCCATTCCTCTTCAAGATTTGAAACTCCTTCTGCCGGTATTCTGACCACATCCCCCACCTCAACTTTCTTCAAAGGGAAGCCTTCTGAAGGGTCTCAGTTTTGCCCACTGGAACTGGGCAATTCCTTTGATGAAGGTTTAGGTAGAATAGGGTAGATAGAGGGTGAGTCTCTAAGTTTGTTCAAGTCATCATCAGACCTCTCCATGCCACTGCCCACAGCCTTTCCTTTGTTGTCCTCAAAACATGTTTTCTGATATAAGGCTTGATATAAGGTTGTCTAAGCCTTACGAATCGCCAAGGCTTGATATAAGGTTGTCTGAGCCTTACGAATCGCCTTAATGAACAGAAATAAGCTTGATTGTTCTCTTCTAACTGGGATGCAAATCATTCATTTTACGCCTTCATAAACAGAATCAATCTTAACGTAATCCCCATTTCTGTTCGTGAGCGAAGAGACCTTCAAGGAGTGTTCGTGTTCAAACTTGCTCAGTGACCAGGATCTCTCTGCCCATAGAAGAAGCTCTATACTTTTGATCAGCCACGAAGTCAGAGTGCAGGACAAGGATATGGTGTGCACCGCTCCCTTTTTACACTCTGAGATGTTTAGAACTTCATTGAAGTGAAAGTCAAACCTTTTGCTTTCAATGACAATGAAAAATAGTCCAGATTGTAAGGAGAAAGGACCAATGTATTTGGATATTACTTCTTCAAAGTTGACCTCGTGCTTCTCATTTTGCAAACCCCGAGTTCTCCTTTTCTATCCTGTAGGGTTGAAGCCCTGAAATGGGTGAAAGTGCCTTCGGTTTTGTACGCGACGGTCAGTGGGACTCTTGTTGAAGCGTCTAACTCTTTAATGGTATTGCTTTCGTTCTTCCTTATGCGCGGGTAGAAACTGACTCTTTCTGTCAGATCTGTTCGCCGTCCACGGAGGAGTACGACACTCAGTGAACCCCCTGCTTCTATAAAAGCATCTGGACCTCCAATCAGCGTTCCCTCTGCGATTTTGTTCCCAGGGCCAGAAGCCATCGCGATGCCAAATGACATTTTTCCGGTTGAAATTGCTTACATACGAGCTCCCATCTCTTTGTCGTTCCCCTTGGAAGCTGTAATTGTTGTTTAAACGCCGGTGAATTTGTTGCTTAAGTTCTTGATTTGTTCCGGCGGCATAAACCCTAGCGCCACCTTCCTCTCCAAAGGTTTCCCAGCTGCGCATCTTTTCATTACACACACACACACACACACACATTTTATATATAAATAAAATTTATTGATAGAATGAACAGGATGGGGATGGCCAAACCCCTACACCAAGGCCAAAGTAAAAAAAACAAAACGAAAAGAACCAAACAAATGGAAAACAAGAGCTTGTAGCTAGCTAAAAAGTACAATAATGAATGAAAAAAACCAGGAAGAGGGCCACCCAAGAAAACTAGTAGCAATTAGCAGACACTGGCAGGTATCCAAACGAGAAAGACATGAGGCTGTGGGTCATTCCATCCAATTAAGATGGGGAGCCTAACTCCAATCTGTTGGGGAAGAGCTCTGTGCAATATTGTCCCTTGAGTAATAATGTCTTCTTTAGCAAAGCATCATATCCTTGAAACAAGAACTAAAGGCTGAACATAAGAGGCACAAAGTAATAACTCTGCTCACACAAAGTAAAATCCCAAAGTAAAACCTCCTAATGGACCCTTAAGAGTGAATACCAAGTAATCCCTACATGTTTAAGCCGAAAAAGAACACACTGTAATGCGTGAGATCACACTCCTGGAAATTGAATCCTGTAAATAAACTTATTTTATGGATGTGCCGTAAATGCAAAACCAGATTCTGCATACCCAGGGCTATTGTCCCTCATCAGCAAAAGGAAGAACTCCATCAGAGAGCTAAATGTATAGAGCAAAAATCAAAAGGGTCTAAATTCTAATATGGGTGCACAGAAAACATTACTCAATAAGCATAGTCCAAATCAAAGTTTTCATCCTCATAACCATCAGAAGCCTGCCGCTTGTTCTTTTTCTTCTTTAGTTTCTTTTTCTGACTTTTGCTCAATGGCTTATTGGGGGGTTTAGGTTCATCAATTTTGTTAGGACAACATAGCTTGAAGAATTTGATGACCTCGTCTTCATGGGATTCTTGTGGATCATGCAAATCATCTTCCTCTTCCCAGCCAATTGGGGTGTTTCTTCTCCCTTCTTCCAGTAATTTAGCCTTACTTCTAGTAACCATTTGAGATGGAGAGTATGTCCTTCTGCCCTTTACTGCCTTGCGCAGATGGAAGGGGTGCTTGGGGCATCTTGAAAGGTCTATTTGTAGTGGTTTAAACTTAGAATCAATGAAAACATAATCCTCCCCCTCAGAATGGGTGTAAAGAATGGGCCCATCTCTCTCCTTTTCATGGTCTTCCACTGCATTAGAGTATAGAACCAGGCTCCGTTCATTAATATTAGAAAAAGTTTCCTCTTCCTCAATGTCTTCATGATCCGGGTTGAGTAGAGCAGCAAATGAGTTGTTTGAAAGCGGTACAAATGCAGGGGCTAATGGTGATAACTTTCTTCTTGGCAGTGGTGGAAATAATTCAGTGTATGTGTTTGAAATGAAGACTTTTGGTTGTTCTCCTCCCTCATAGATAGTCATGTGTCTGTCTGCTGGTGTGGTTTCTATCAAGGAATCTGAAGAGAAGTCATCTGATCCTCCTTTGCCTCTAGACTTAACCTCTGTGCTCAAGTGGAGTTGTGATTGTTGAGGTGATGAACCAAGTTCAGATGTTGAGGCATATATCACCTCATCCACCTTTAAATTCAAGACTTCCATATCAGGAGAGACAATGGTTGTGGTCTTTGGGGAAGAAGAGGCATTCTGGATGGAAGTGGATTGTGGGATCTCTTCACAATGAATGGTCATCCCTTTAATCTTTTCAAGGAAAGAGTTCAGGGCCTTATAAACAGCTTAAACCCATCACCTTTATCCCCAAATGGCACCAAAAGAAATGAAAAACCTTCCTTTCGGTCCTCAGCAATACGAATGAATCTCCCTTTTCTGTTTGATTCAAGACATATCTCGAGAGCTCTATTATCATCAAATTTATACAAACCTTGAGTTTTTGTACTTGTCAGCCTGGGAATAGATTCTGCCAGCCAATGTAGAGAGTCCAAATTGAACCAAATGTGGAAATTTTTCCTGCCTTGACTAGTTATGCAAATATTGTGATTGTACAAAGAATAGAAGAGTTCATATGCCTTGAATTGAATGTGAAACTTGAACCTAGAGTTCCTACTCGGAAAAGAATTCGAGGAACTAGTCTTACCTACAAAATTTGAGCCGCTGTAGACGTATGAATTTTGCAGGTTCAGAGTTTCTGGGGATCTAAAAGGCCAGTAGCGCTTTTGCCCACCACCTCTGGGACGTCGGTAAGTCTGATTTTGCCCTCCATCCCCACGAGACGTTCTCCTGTTACTCGATCTGTAAGTCCAACGGCGACTCACGAAAGGATATTTAGGTCGCCGATCGTCAAGATATTTGCGATGGTTGTTGTGATCATCATCCCGCTGTCTCCGTTGGAAATTGGAAGCAAAATTGTGCAGAAGAGATAGTCTCCGGTCAGAATTTGGGTGAAATCGCCCGCGGTCGCCATATATATATATATATATATATATATATATATATATATATATATATATATATATACACACACACATACATACACACATATATATATATATATGAGGATGATGTTTCCGCTCTTGAAATCCACGGAGACTCCTCCGGTGTCTCCGGCCAAAGCTTCCGGCACTCATTCCAAGCTGTTCTCCGATCTCTTCAAGACGGATGGGGCCGTCATCATTGATAGACCACCGGAGAAAACTAGTTTCAAAGGTTGTCCATCCATCTCCTTCTCTAGGGAAGACATAGAGGTTTTCTCCCGTCGGTTCAGATTTGCCCTCATCGGTAGATTCAGACGTCGCCCTCCACTCTCGGTCATGAGAAATTTTCTTACCCAACTCGGGCTTGTTGGGGGTTTTACGGTTGGAGAACTCAACTCTAACGCTGTTCTTATCAACTTTGAGCATGATGAAGATTATCAACACCTTTTCCTCTGGAAAACCTGACGCTTGGAAGGGATATCATGACAGTGACTAAATGGTCTCCAAATTTACGTCCAGAGGAGGACTCCCCTATTGTTCCGGTTTGGATCACTATACCCAATCTTCCTATTCATTTACATGATCAGAAGGCTCTCTTTTGTATTACCCCCACACTAGGTAAACCCTTGAAAGTTGATAACGCCACCCTCACCTTCGCTAGACCCAAAGCTGCTAGGGTTTGCATTGAAGTGGATGTCTCAAAGACACTACATCAGCGTATTCATGTTAAGCACGTTGATGAAGATCTCTTCTTTCAAGTTCTCTATGAGGATCCCCCATCCTTTTGCTCTTCCTGCCATCGTTTGGGTCACACCCCTAATTCTTGCAAACCGGAAAAGCTTCCGGAAAGGCAAGTGGTGGATGATGTTCCTCCCATGAAGGATAAGGGCAAAGGGGTTTTGAATGATTGGACCACTGTGCATCGTATGGGCAAGCCTCCAAAATCAAAAGTTACGTGGGTTCAAAAGCCCTTCATGCCACAAGTCAATCCATGCATGCCATGCCATGAGGAATCTTTTAAGGCTGGTGCTAGGCGTAGGCCCGAGGTTCATTTCATTGGGTCAAAAGAGGTGATTTTTCTGGACAATAATGGCCTTGCCTATATCTTTTTTGATCCTACTAATCCTGTAGTTGAGCCCACCTCTAGTCAGAACGTCTCTCTTGATTTGGTAAATGATGTTTTTGACTCATGCACCTCCTTAGATCCCACATCTAATCATAGTGTCACGGAGCTTCCTCTTTGTGATCTCCAAGTGGATATCCCTGTCAAGAAGACATCTTCTTCTGCTCCTCCCTCACTGAAGAAAATGCATACGCGTTCAGACTATAAAGTCTGTTGATGGGGTTTTCCAAGCCCTGAAATGATCTGCACTCTTTTTTGGAATGTGAGGGGAGTCTCGAAGAGGTGCAAGAGACTCTCTCATTTAAAGAAGCACCATTCTATTGATTTCTTTATCCTTATTGAACCTTTTGTTTCTGCTGCAAAGGGTAAGCTTGGTTTTAATGGTTTTCTTTCTGTTGCTAATAATAAAATTTTGTTCCTTTGGAACCAATCCAAATTTGAGGTTCTTGATTTGTTAGACCATGGTCAGATTACACACTTCAAATTGAGGGATGTTCTGAATAATTTCAGCTTCACTATTAGTGGTATTTATGGTAGTCACTCTACTCCTGAAAGGAAAGCTCTTTGGAATCATATTGAAGCCTTTAACAATAGCTCTCTGCTTCCCTGGTGTCTTGGGGGAGATTTTAATACATTATCTGATCTCCTTCATCATAAAGGAGCTAGGCTTCCAGATCTTGAAGCTATTGATGATTTTAGTAGCTGCATTTCAAATTGTAACCTCCTTGATTGTAATTTCAGTGGACCTTCCTTTACATGGCATGGCGTTCGTAGTAATGGTAATGTTTGGAGACGCCTTGATAGGGTTTTCTTTAATGCTGGTTGGGCATATCACTGAGACACCATGTAAATGCATCACCTTGCCAAAGGAGGAAGTGATCACTGTCCCATTCTCTTCAGCTCCAAGCTTGTGGTCGGGGACATTCCTAAATCCTTTAGATTTTAGAATATGTGGCTTTTAAGGGAGGACTTTATACAATTTTGCAAGAAAAGTTGGGAGGAAGTTCCTGTCTTTGGTGGAATGAGATGTTTGTTCAATAAACTCCAACACCTCAAAGCCAAACTCTCATCTTGGAATAAGGATCAGTTTGGCAATGTATTTGATAAGGTCAAAGAAGCAGAAGAGGAAGCATCCAAAGCAGAAATCCTCTTTGAAGAGAATCCCTCTTCTGAAAATAAAATCCTCCTTAACCAAAGGAAAGCACACCTTGCAGAGATGACCAACAGGGAATTTATTTTTTGGAAACAGAAATGCAATCTTAAATGGCTTCAAGAGGGAGATGCTAATACTAGATTTTTCCATAACTTGGTTAAAAATAGAAGGAGGCATCAACAGATTAATTGGCTACTTAATGATGAGGGTAAAATCGTTGACAAGCCTGATGAGATGGAAAAGCTTGTTGTTCATCATTATACCACCCTACTGAATCAGGCAGAACCATCTGCTTCTCCTGATCTCTATGAACAATTCCTTGATGCCATCCCTTCCTTGGTTGATCAAAGGCATAATGATTACCTTATGTGTCTACCTACTGAAGAGGAGATCAAACTTATCATTTGGGAAATGGATCCTAATTCAGCAGCTGGCCCAGATGGTTTCAACATTACCTTCTTCAAATGTTGTTGGGATTTTATTAAAACTGATGTGGTTTCTGCCTACCAGGAGGTGTTCCTTGGTCTCCCACTACCTCATGCTGTTGCGTCCTCCAATATCTGTCTTATTCCTAAGGTGGAGAATGCTAAGAAACTTCATGATTTTAGGCCAATCTGTTTGTCAACTGTGGCCTCTAAGATTACTACAAAATGTATTTCAAAGAGGTTAAGTAAGATTCTTCCTCTCATTATTTCAGAAGAACATGCTGCTTATGTCCCTAGAAGGGAGATTCTGGATCAGATCCTTATCACTAAGGAGATGGTTCATCATATTAATAGAAAGGCTAATGGTGGCAACCTCATTATTAAACTGGATATGGCCAAGGCTTTTGATAAGCTAAAATGGTCATATTTATTTGATATTCTCAAGTCTTTTGGTTTCTCCTCCACCTTTATTCACATGGTTAACAATCTTCTCTCCTCTTCCAAATACTCTGTCCTTTTCAATGGTAAACCATGTGGTTATTTTGGTCAATCTAGGGGAGTTAAACAAGGAGATCCCCTATCTCCCCTGTTGTTTATTATTGCCAATGAAGGTTTTTCCAGAAATCTCCACAGAATGTTTCAAGATGGCCTCATTGACAAGTTTAATTGTGGCAGAAACTCTATCTCCATTTCCCATTTGTCCTACGCAGATGACATTATTATTTTTACTTCTGGACACTCCAGATCTGTCCACAATCATAAAAGATTTCTTCATAACTATCAGCTTGTGTCTGGGCAGACCATTAACTATGGTAAAAGCAGTTTCATGTCTGGCTCCAAATTTAATTCCCTTACAATCACCAAACTTGAGAAACTATTGATGATGCCTCATAAAGGCTTTCCTTTCACTTATCTTGGAGTGCCTATTGATTTGGGGATCACCAGGAAGAATCACTGCTCTTTCCTTATCCAATCCTTTGACAACAAGCTTAATGGATGGTTTCAAAAGAATTTGGATCAAGCTGGACATTTGGTGTTGATCAAACATGTTTTAAACACCATTCCAAATTACTTTTTAGCTGCCAACACCATCCCTAAAGCCATCTCTCATCTGCTTGAGCAAAAAATGGCTAGATTCTGGTGGGGTGGTGGTAGGGGTGTAAACGAACCGAATCGAAGCGAATACCGATATATTTGAATTTGTATTTTTTTAATTTTTTCGAATACGAATCCGAATCCGAATATGAGACAAATTCAAAATAAGATTTGAATAAGTATTTGATTAATATTCGAATAGTTATCGAATCATAAACGAATATTTGAATAATCATACTATGTAATTTATATGAATGACCAACATCAATTTGTAATTTAACTTACAATGCTCTTTATACTATACTATATTCCGTATATAAAAACATTAATACATCTGCATCTTACACAAATTATATTTTATAAAATATAACTATTAAAAATCATATGCTTTAGATTTTCGTGTTACGTTAATTTATTGAATTCTTGGTATTTTAAATACAGTTTATACTATATTACTTTGCTTGACTTTTGATGTTGAAAACATGGTCTGTGTATATATACATATATTCGAATATTCGAATATCATCCGAATCGAATATATCCCTATTTGTATTTGTATTTTATTAATATTCGAATCAAAAATAATATTTGAATTTGAATTTGTATTTGAATAATGCGAATTCGAATCATCATATTCGAATACAAATCGCGAATCGAATTTAAAATATTTGGAAGAAGTTGTGCTATCCTAAGGAAGAGGGAGGCCTTGGCATTAGAGACCTCAATAGCCTAGAGAATGCTTTCAGTCTTAAACTTTGGTGGAAATTTTATCAAGACAATGGGCTATGGGCTAAGCTTATGAGGGCTAAATACTGGAGAAATGGAGACATCTTTGAGACTCTAACAGATTCTTTTGTTTGGAAGAGGATTTCTAGGGCTAATGAAACTGCGTCCAATGCTTGTTCCTTCAATGAAGATGGTTCAGTGGTCTGGTCTCCTGAGGCCAATGGATTATTTTCCATCAAATCTGCTTTTGATCTCTGCAGACCTGCATCTCCTAGTGCTGCCTCCTTCAAACACCTTTGGATGAAACCACAAAATGCTAAGGTAGGGGTTTTCACTTGGAAACTATTCAAACGCTGCCTTCCTTTACCAGAATATCTCCAAAGATTAGGCTTCCAGCTGCCCTCTATCTGTCCTTTCTGTAAGGAGGATTCACTCATCTCCAAACATGTTTTCATTGACTCCCCACAAATTATGGAGATATGGAGATATTTTTCAGCATGCCTTGGTTTTCTGCACAGCTCTTCGTCCTCCATTAACCAACATTTCATGAATTGGTGGCTGAGAGGTAACAACAACAACAACATTCATGGTTTTTTGCGTTTGCATCTCCCTGGGATCATTTGTTGGCACATTTGGAAAGAACTGAATGATCTCCTTTATGAAAACAAATCTGCACTCAACCTTCGATCACTCGTTGAGTCCATCTCCATGTTTGTGAGACAATGGCTCCTCGTAAAAACCCCCAAAAGGCTCTGGACTACTTATCCGTGGCTCGCTGCAAAACAGTTGCTGCCTTCTTTCCCTAAGGCCCCTAAAGTACGCGTTGTCAAATGGTTAGCTCCTTCAAAGGGACGTCTTAAGATCAACATTGATGCATCTTTCACTCCCATGTCCAGAAGAGGTGCAGCTATTTTGCGTGATGACGAGGGTAGATTTGTGCGTGCAGCTTCGTTCCTCATTTCAGGCTCCACCCCTTACCAAGCTGAACTGGATGCAGCAATCAAAGGAATTCAATGGGCACTTTCGTTTCATCCCTTGCTCGTTTATGAAACGGATGCCTTGGAAATTTTAAGGAGACTTGGCCATTACACTCATTACGCTTTCTCTCCTTTCCCGATTGACATTCTGGCCAAACTAATTTTTGAGAATGATATATTGAAATCACATACTCTTCGGGAGGGTAATCATCCTGCAGATCTTTTGGCTAAGGAGGATAGATTAAAAGATTGTTCTCTCATTTAATATTGTAATTTTAATAACTGTCCTTCTTCTGTAATGGCCGCTCTTTTGAATGAGCGCCTTCCTTCTTTCCGTTTTCATTAATAAAACTTCCCCTTTTTTTGTTATATATATATGTATGTATGTATGTATGTATGTATGTATGTATGTATGTATATTCGGATTGTAGTGCCCGATTAAGGTTTACTTAAAAATAATTCCCAAAATGTTGGGAATAACAATTAAAGTTGATCGACATGGTTGATATTTTCCAAATTCATAATATATAAGGTAATCTCATGAATGACATGATTTTTGCATGTATGGATTTTGATATCAGAGTTCATACATATCTGATGTCCATGTTAGCACGATGAGTCTTTTTGTTTGAATTGTATACCCATGTATATTAAAAAGACAGTGTATAAAATTAGAGTATTATAGTGAATAATGGGAACATAGTGTAGTCTCATATTTTACATCTTTTTCTAATTCCAACAATGAAATAGTGTGTATTCAGTTGTTTTGTGGAATATTAAAAGCTTTAAAATAATCTTTGATGAACCATGAGCATAATNTGCATGTATGGATTTTGATATCAGAGTTCATACATATCTGATGTCCATGTTAGCACGATGAGTCTTTTTGTTTGAATTGTATACCCATGTATATTAAAAAGACAGTGTATAAAATTAGAGTATTATAGTGAATAATGGGAACATAGTGTAGTCTCATATTTTACATCTTTTTCTAATTCCAACAATGAAATAGTGTGTATTCAGTTGTTTTGTGGAATATTAAAAGCTTTAAAATAATCTTTGATGAACCATGAGCATAATATTTGAACACCAAAAATGGAGTTTTAAAATGGATACTACCAAGTATGACTTGATAATACAAAAAATGCAATGTTTAATAGTATAATGAGTTTTTTTAAGATAAGAATTTATACAATGAAGAACAAAATTACATGTGAATTATTAATTTTTTAGTCTATATTTTTTAACTCCACTCATTGTAAATAAATTATGTCTCTAATAATGAAGTTCTGAAATTTACTTTGCTTTGTCGTCATAAATCAATATAAATTTTTATGCAATAGAAATACTTATATAAAAAGTAGGATTAGTTATTATTTTTTTATCATATGACATTCAAAGAGCACTTATTTATTCACTATTTTCTATCGCGAGAATCTTAGTTCCCTAATATTAAAAAGTAATACATTAAATAAACATAATTAACAGTCTATGCTCCTCTATGATTGCGAGATTATAAAATAATTTATTTACGAGATTAAAAGACTTTTTGATCCAACAACACATAATGCCTATACTTTTTCGTACCGAACCTTTGTGTATCTAATGTTGTGCTTTCCAACAACTTTCACTTTGCATGTCCACTCAACCTTGTTACCTTAATATGCCTAATTATTTTTGTTGGTGTCATCCTTACAATTAAAAAAATGTTTACTAACATCAGGAAACATGCTTTGATACAAATCATTTTTATTCAAAGTGTGTAAAATCATAGGATTTATTTTATACAAGTCATTTTGAAAGATTTTTCATTTTTCATATAACAAATTAAAACTTCTCACGACCCATTTTAATTTTTAAGATGATTCTGTTAGAATAATAGACCAACGCTAGAGGGGGGGTGAATAGCGTTTGATCGTAGAAATCGTAGGAATAAAAAATTAAGAGCGTGAAAAGTAAAGAGCGTAGAAAGTGTAAAGGGAGCACACCAAGATTTATACTGGTTCACCACAACGTGTGGCTAATCCAGTCTCCCGAGAGAGTCTCTCGAGCTACACTACTTCTATTAAGCTTACGGGTGCTTAACAAACCGTTAAAACTTGAGAACTCGAGTCCCACGAGCCTCAACAACACTTGTTCGGAGATACCGCACTCCAAGACTTCAACCTGAAGGAAAAGCACCTTTCCTTCGTACAACCAAGGGAAACAGACTTCCCTTAACATCTATAAACACTAAGAACACTCAAGACCAAGGCTCTCTCAAAAGAGTGAATATGAGTAAAGTAATACGCTCAAGATCACAACACGAACTTCACAAAAGTGGCTCTCAAAAAGCTATGTATAATGTATGAATAATATGTAATGAAAGAATGGGAGTTGTGAAGTAATGTGATATGTAAAACAGACCCAAACACCCCATTTTATAGTGGGAAAATAGGCTCCAACGGACCAAAACATTTAAGGGGTGATTGGCACAATTTGTGGGATTTGATTAAATTTGGATCTGTTGAAATTCACCCAGACAGCGCTGTCCTAGGCTTGGACATCGCTGTTCTAGGCTTGGATTTTGAAAATTGGGAAGCAACGGTCATGCCAACAGCGATGTCCAATACCCCTACATCGCTGTTTTGGCTGTTGACTTCCAAACAAGGAAAGTTTTAGCCTTAAATTCCTTCCAACGGTCAGGTCCCTACATCGATGTTCATTACTTGAACATCGCTGTTTAGGTCTGACTTTTGAAGATGGAAGTTTGGCCTGACAGCGCTGTTGCTGGGTCAACATCGCTGTCCAAATACTTTCTGTCAATGCACTATATTTTTGGCTTAGGTTGGACAGCGCTGTAGGGAAGCCTACATCGCTGTTCCAGAAGTTTCTGGAAATTCAACCTTGGCTCAACAGCGATGTCTAACATCCAACATCGCTGTTGGAAGACTTAACGCCAAACCAAGGTTTTCAGCTACCCAAGCCAGACAGCGTTGTTGGTTGCACCAACATCGCTGTTGGGCTGGTTTAGCCGGACCCATGGTTGGTTTAGTCAGCCGTTAGCCGATGTTAAAAATGTAAGTTCTCCAAAATAAAAACCGAGTATTGAAAATGTTTGTTTAATGAATTTTGCTAAGAAATCAAGTAAAACATTTTGAAAACCACGTCATTTAGTTGAAAACCACGGCTAGCCAAGTTTACGCCGTTTCGCATGGTTTTCAATAAACGACCAAAAACGAAAGGTGGTTTTTGAAGCATTTTTGTTGGAGAACTATTTAAACATTCCCAGAAGTAAAAACCAATCATTAAAAGTTGAAAACCACTTGGTTGATTCAAACGCCAAAAACCAACGCCGATAACCGAAAGCCGAACGCCGGTTTCCGAAGACCGAATGCCGGATGGCTTGGTTTTTGGTTTGGGCGAACTCCAAGTGTTTTCAGGAAGGTTTAAGACTTAAGAAAACCATTTTCAATATGCAAAAAATATTTTGATGAAATGAGCCTAGAGAGCCATGTTTTGAAAGTTTGTGCCGGTCTTGATCACATTAAAACCGACTCAATATAATTTTAAGTCTTCGTTCATCATGCCATGTTCCTTTGCCTTGGTTTTGCTTAGTTTAACCTTGTTATTGTCACGGCGGTTTGGCATTATCAAAACCTGTCATAAAACGAACACGGCTTAGTACGACATAGGCGTAAACCCGTGTTCCAACAATTTCCCCCTTTTTGATAATCCGGGGGCGGAGAATCCGGGTGATGATGTAGAGGAGGAGGCGCTTGTCCGGTGCTGTCCCGGGGGCGGAGAATCGTCGGCGCGCCGCTGTGGCGGATCAAGTTGGTGATCCCAAGCTCACGAATGACGACTGCCTCGTTGTTGAGGATCCAATCGTCGCCACCATAAGTTGCGATGTCATCACCGCGGATGGGCAGCCCTGCGACCCGAGCAAAGGTAGGTAAATCAATCTCTATGACGTAGAGATTGATGCTGCTGCGAATGGTGTCCCCGTCACGGCGGAGATTGGAGTAGAAGGCTCTGACGAAGGCGGGATTGAAGCTCGAGCAGCTCCTGGAGACGAACGACCACAGACCCGATGCTTGAAGCTGATTGTCGAGGTCATGGTACCCCTTTTGTTGAGGGTACAACTCGGGCAGCACCCTAGGCGGAGAAATGGGACGCTTGGCAAAGTGTGTGAGGAACCGATTGAGTTCCTCCTCCGACCCGAACTCAAGAAACGATCCGTCCAGGTAGGGGAACGGCGGGGGCGCTGTGGTCGTAGCTTCAGTGTTGCCCTTCTTCTTGGAAACCTTTGTCCTCTTTCCTCCGGCCATGATTGAAGCAAAAATATGAAGAATAATGTAAAAGAGGAGATTTTGATGTGAAAATGTGTGTTAAAATGAGTAGAGATGAAGGATATATATAGGAAAGGGTGAGAAATTCGTTTGAATTTGAAAAAAAAGACTGTTGGGCAATAAATTCTGTGACCAACGGTTAAAAAATTTGAATTTGCAGCAGGCTTTCCAGCGATGGGTGGAACTTCCCATCGATGGGAAGGTCGACACTAGAAAGCGAAGGAGAAAACAAAGGCTGCCTTCCCAGCGATGGTAAAACTCACCCATCAATGGGAAGGTGGCTACTGGAAATCCGATAAAACGCTTTAAAAAAAGTGTCAAACACCCAGCGATGGGAGAAAGTTCCCATCGATGGGTAGGGAGGTTCTGGGAAAAAATTTTTAAACTAAAAACATTCACCCAGCGATGGGATGAAATACCCATCGATGGGTAAGGTGTTTCTGGAAATCCGTTAAAAATTTTAAAAAAAATAGAGTCAATTACACATCGATGGGAAGAAGCACCCATCGATAGGAAGAGGGGTCCTGGAAAGATGAGGACTTCCCTCCCAGCGATGGTATAACGCACCCATCGCTGGTTCCCCCTGATTTCCAGAAATCTTCACCTCGAACCGTCCCTGCAAAAAAGAGTTAGAAAACCCTCCGACGCTCAAGTTAGTAAACGTTCAAGCACAGAAAAAAGAGTGATAAAATGCACAAATTAGATCATCGTGGAGTCAAGGATTCCGAGTTCACTACGAATGCGGAAGAACGACTCTTTCTCTAAAGGTTTTGTGAAAATGTCGGCTAATTGGTTGTGTGTTTCAACAAACTCAATTTCGACATCACCTTTGAGAACATGATCTCTAATGAAATGGTGCCTAATGTCAATGTGTTTTGTCCTTGAATGAAGAACGGGGTTCTTCGTCAAGCTTATGGCGCTAGTATTATCACAACGGAGTGGAACGTGACTGATACTAAGGCCATAATCCACGAGTTGTTGCTTCATCCAAAGGATTTGAGCACAACAACTACCGGCGGCAACGTATTCCGCTTCGGTTGTGGATAACGCAACACTGACTTGTTTCTTACTAAACCATGAAACTAAAGAGCTACCAAGTAAGTGGCAAGTCCCACTNTCGAACCGTCCCTGCAAAAAAGAGTTAGAAAACCCTCCGACGCTCAAGTTAGTAAACGTTCAAGCACAGAAAAAGGAGTGATAAAATGCACAAATTAGATCATCGTGGAGTCAAGGATTCCGAGTTCACTACGAATGCGGAAGAACGACTCTTTCTCTAAAGGTTTTGTGAAAATGTCGGCTAATTGGTTGTGTGTTTCAACAAACTCAATTTCGACATCACCTTTGAGAACATGATCTCTAATGAAATGGTGCCTAATGTCAATGTGTTTCGTCCTTGAATGAAGAACGGGGTTCTTCGTCAAGCTTATGGCGCTAGTATTATCACAACGGAGTGGAACGTGACTGATACTAAGGCCATAATCCACGAGTTGTTGCTTCATCCAAAGGATTTGAGCACAACAACTACCGGCGGCAACGTATTCCGCTTCGGTTGTGGATAACGCAACACTGACTTGTTTCTTACTAAACCATGAAACTAAAGAGCTACCAAGTAAGTGGCAAGTCCCACTTGTACTTTTACGGTCCAATTTGCAACCGGCAAACTCCGAGTCGGAATAACCAGCGAGATGACACGAAGAGCCTTTTGGATACCACAGTCCAACGTTAACCGTGCCAAAAAGGTATTTCATGATCCTTTTCACCGCTGTTAAGTGCGATTCCTTCGGACATGATTGATACCTTGCACAAAGGCATACGCTAAACATGATATCCTGCCTACTAGCGGTAAGATAGAGAAGGGATCCGATCATACCTCGATACTTTTTGACTTCTACTTCCTTACCTTTCTCGTCTTTGTCTAGATGGTCAGACGTGCTCATCGGGGTCGCCATGGCTTTGGTGTTGTCCATTTCAAACCGTTTTAGGAGCTCCTTGCAATATTTAGTTTGACAAATGAATGTGCCATCATTCATTTGCTTGACTTGGAGTCCCAAGAAGAATGTGAGCTCGCCCATCATCGACATTTCGAACTCGCTTGTCATTAACGTTGAGAATTCCTTGCACAAAGACTCGTTAGTAGCACCGAATATAATATCGTCTACATAAACTTGAACCAAAAGGATGTTATTGTTTTTACTCTTGATAAAAAGTGTAGTTTCTACCTTTCCCCTTTGGAAACCACTATCCAAAAGAAATTTGCTCAAACGTTCATACCAAGCACGAGGTGCTTGTTTATGACCGTAGAGCGCTTTCTTAAGTTTGAAGACATGGTCGGGAAACTCAAAGTCTTCAAACCCCGGGGGCTGGTCAACATACACTTCCTCTTGAATAAAACCATTGAGGAAGGCACTCTTAACATCCATTTGATAAAGTTTAAAATCCATAGACGAAGCAAAAGCAAGAAGTAAACGAATAGCTTCTAAACGTGCTACAGGTGCATAAGTTTCCTCGAAATCAATGCCTTCTTCTTGATTGTAGCCTTTAGCTACGAGCCTAGCTTTGTTTCCATTTTGTTGTGGTGTACGTGGGGCTGAGAAGTTATGATCAATGCCAAGTTCGTCACACAAATCTGAGAACAAATTTCATTCGAACTCTCCCCCATGGTCGCTTCTTATGGCTACTATGGTTGTTTCTTTTTCATTTTGAACTTTCTTTAAAAAAATTTTGAAAACGTGAAATGCCTCACTTTTATGAGTTAGAAACAAGGTCCATGTAAACCTAGAGTAGTCATCGACAATCACAAACGCAAAGTAATTGCCACCAAAACTCTTCGTTCTAGAAGGACCAAAGAGATCCATGTGCAAAAGTTGAAGCGGTCTAGACGTTGAAACAACGTTTTTAGACTTAAACGAAGCCCGAACTTGCTTCCCCTTTTGACATGCATCACATATGGTGTCTTTTTCAAACTTAAGTTTTGGGATGCCAATTACTAAGTTTTGTGAAACCAATTTGTTCAAAAGGTTCATGTTCATATGAGCTACCCTTCGGTGCCATAGCCAAGTGTCTTCCTCTTTACTCATGAAACACTTAGCAAAGTCGGAAGGAGATTTGTCTAAGTTAACCATATAAATGTTATCGATTCTATCACCACGTAGAATGACCTTATTGTCACTAAGGCGTTCTACAGTGCATGATTTTGAATCGAAGGTTACACGGTTTCCCTTGTCACATAATTGACTTATGTTCAAGAGATTGTGTTTAAGACCTTTGACTACCAAGACATTATCTATAGAGGAGTCTTCGGACTTACCTACTGAACCGGTGAAAGTCATTTTGAATCATTTTAATTTATCATTTGACAAATAAAGACTCCTTACGTCCCAAATTAAGTAAACAAATAATTATTTTGTTCAACCAATTCATTTATGAATGAATTTAAATGAGCTTATGTGAAAATATTTCTCCCAAAACGATAACATTTAATTCTCATGTAACATTAAGAAACCAAGAAGTTGAGAACTGAGCACAAGGTAAATACAAGTTATTTTGAAAGATTTTCATCTTTCATAGAAAAAAATTACCTAGCTACGTCACAATTTGATTTATAAATTTAATCTTTAATGGACAAATTTAACTTCCTACGTTCTAATTTTTGAGTCCTACCTATAATTTTATTATAAAAAAGCCTTATTTACTGTGAGTAGTGAACAAACAACCCAGAATTATGGTAATCGAAAAAAGATATATTTTTTTATAAAACAACATAAATGAAAATACTCATCGCTAAATAAAATCATTTCATTTTTATAAAACACTTTGGCCTAAATAAAAACTCTCTACGTCCTAATTTATAGTAAACTCTTTCTTCTAGGGACAAATTAAAACTCTCTATGGCCTAACTTTTGAGTCTTACATATTATTATTTAAAAAACCTTACTTATTTCCAATAATGGACACAACGAACGAAGATTTCGTGTAATCCAAAAAACACTTTTTTTTAAAATCAACTTAAATGAAAATACTTCTACAAACATTTCATTCTTATAAAATTCTTTTTAAAACTAAATTGTAAAATCCAAAAATCATGAGAATTGAGCACATGGTAAATGAAAGTCATTTTAAATACTTTTTTTAATCATTTGACAAATAAAGACTCCCCACATCCCAAATTAATTTATAAAAGTATTGATAATTTTGTTCAACCATAATGGAATTTTTGGATTGAAAGATATATTCCATTCAAAAATTGATGAACTAAATTAAAATTACCTAAAGAATGTTGTTCAAATTTTTTGTAATTAGCAATAGAATGGTCTACGAAATTCTTGAGTTGTACCTATATAATAAATTGAAAAAATACTTACATGATTGTTATCCTATATATATATATATATGTAACTGATTGTTATCCTATATATATATATATATATATATATATATATATATATATATATATATATATATATATATATATATATATATATATATATATATATATATATATATATATATATATATATATATATATATATATATATATATATATATATATATATATATATATATATATATATATATATATATATATATATATATATATATATCTACTTTCCTTCTCAAATAATAACTCCAAGTAAGGCAAAGATTTTGGAAGTGGGTAGGAACAAAACACCAATGGGATGGGAGGAAAGGTCAAATGGCTCAGATATTAAATTTGCAGAAGACATTAGGATTTTTTTCAAGGAATGCTGTCCAAACAAACCAGTTAAAGCAACCAAGAAACAGTTCACAAATAAGCCTTTAACCAAGAGCCAAAAGAAAAAGTCTAAAAAGAAACTCAAAAAGAAGAAGGGAGGAGGGCAGGAAAATGATGAATCTGATTGATCTCGCTCTAGAGGTTTTTGAACGATTATCATGGATGTTGTTCTCGGTTGAGAACTACCATTTCTTGGCATGGGCTTGCTATGTACTTGCTTAGGGTTGAAGGGAATTATGGTTGCAGAAGATTGCTAGAGATTGGTCAAACAGGAAGGACTAGCTAAGGGTATGGGTTGCATTAGGGCCTGGTGTCATGTTTACCCATTTTGATGGTTTTTCCTTTTATCATGTTACCATACTGTTGGTGTATGGGAGGGTTGTACCACATAGCCCTGCACAAAGCTTAAAGGTTGTAGACTCAAATATGGAGGCTTTTTCACTTGCGCTTGGGAGTTCATTTCTCAAAAATTCTCTTGGAAGAACTCCACATTATTGAAGTATGGATCTGGAGGCTGCCACCTGAAGATTCCCTTTCTAGAGACAACTACAGTGGGCTAAGTCCTACACACTGTTAGCATTTGCTGTGAAGTTTTGGTCAAGTAGAAGAAGACGTTTTGGGTGTTTCCCCCCTTTTGTTTAGACCCTTTTGGTCTTTTATTTGCTATTGCATTTACCTTTCTTCTTGGCCTTTTATCGGGGTTGGCCTCCCCACCTCCTGTACTTTTCTTCTTTTTAATATATATATATGGATGATGGATTTTAGTGTGAGAAAGTCACCGGAATCCTCTGGTTTTCCGACCAGAACTCCGGCGATTAAAACAATTCACGTTTCAAAGCCAAACAAGTATGATCAATCACCATATTATAGAAAGTCATACGCACAAGAAAAAAGGAAACAGTTCTCCAAATTGGTGTCTTCATCATACAGGAGTTTGGGACAGGTTCATGGCAAGGTTAGAGGCAATCCATCCATCTCTTTCAATGCTGAAGAAACCAACCATCTAGCCTTGAAGCTCAGATTTGCTCTGGTGGGTAGGTGCAACAGGAGACTGGACCTGAAGCTCATAAGAAAGGCTATGAATAGAATTGGTTTTGAAGACTCCCTCCAACTTCAACATCTTGATGGTAATGACATCCTTTTTAACTTCAAAGAAGAATGGGACTTCCAAAGATTTTTCCTTAAGAGACTCTGGTTTTTTGATGGTGTTCCTGTCAAGATTTTCAAATGGTCTCAAGATTACAGCTCCAAAAAGGAAAATCCCAACATCCCTCTTTGGGTAACCATCAACAGATTACCTCTGCATCTTCTTGATGTTGGTGCCCTATATCAGCTCTTTTTCCTGCTTGGCACCCCTTTGAAGGTAGAGTCAGGTACACTTCTTCATCATAGATTTGATTCTTCCAGGTCATGTGTCATTGTTGATATCTCAGCTCCTCTTCCCTCTGGCATCCATGTTTCATTAGACAATAAGGTACTCTTGCTCCCCTACACATTTGAAAAGGTGCCCTCGTTTTGCCATTCATGCTCAACCTTAGGTCATAGTGAGAGTACCTGCAAAACCTCACCGCCGGGAAGGGCCAGGTGTCCATGGGGGCACCCCTTCTCAGAAGGATCAGGAGTGGCTGGTTGTTACCAAAAAGAAAAATGCAAAACCTGGAGCCTAATCTATCCCACCAATTAATTATTGGAAACCCAAACCACTTATCAACCAAGTCATACCAAAAGCTAAATATCAAGCAGAACAAGACAAAGTATTATCCCAGAGGGCAAAATCAGTAACTTTGGGCCCTCTCCCAGTAACCTGCCCCCTCCTTCACAATGGAGCCAATCCAATGCCAATTGTGCAAGGCATAGAGAGCACCTCTTCTCCCATGGCTATGAAGGAATTACAGGAAGTTAGAATAGTTTTCACCCACACCTCAGAAACAACTGAAAAGAAAGAAATCCATAAACTTGAGCCACTTCCTCTGCACAACAAATTCTCACCTCTTAGTCACCTTTGTGAAGAACATGGTCCTCTCACTCACAGAAGTCTTGATGACACTCAAAAAAGGGGGACTCAAGCCGTGCCACTTCAACCATAATAAATGCTATTGGACCTGATGAGGATGCATTGGAAATTGAAGATGATGAGGAAGAAATCTGTCCTCACTACCACTCAGAGGGGGAAAAGCTTCCATCCATTTTAAGACACCTCACGTGTCACTTCTCTTCCTGTTCAGTTAGATAGGAGAATCAAGGCTTTGGCTCATAACAACATTATCCCCTCATATGGTGTCCTCACTAGAAGTCAGAGCAAGATATATGGAGTTCATTCCCACCTTATCCCTCTCTAATGAATTTTCTTTTCTGGAATATTAGAGGGATAGCTTCTTCCCAAGCAAGACTTCTATCCCTCATTAAACTTCACAAAATTTCCTTTCTTGCTATTTTAGAACCCCTAGTTAGCAACAAAAAACTCTCCAGATACTCTCTCTCTTAATTTTTCCAACCACCTCTCTGCCCTGGATAATAAAGCCTGGATCGTCTGGGACAATCATACCCTTCTGCTCACTGACACCAAAATGGATGACCAAGCAGTAACCTGTATGTTCAAGCAAGTTGAATACGACAAAAAAGTGGTAATCACATCAGTTTATGGAAGACATAGTTATATTGATAGAAGAAAACTGTGGAAAGATATTGAGGATCACTTTGTAGAGGAAGACCTATGGCTGGTTGCTGGGGACTTCAATGCTATTCTTTCTCATAAAGATCATATAGGTAACTCTCTACCAGATCCTACTAGTATTGAAGAATTCACTCAATGTATGGATATGGCCACACTCTCACCTATCAACCCTAAAAACAACTTCCTCACATGGACTGGTAAAAGAGGAAGAGGTAAGATATGGAGACATTTAGACTGGATTTTTGTCAATCCACCCATGCTTCAACACTGTGATAGTGTCTCTCTCCAACATCTCAACAAGACAGGCTTAGACCACTCCCCCCTTTTGGTGAAATGCTCCACATTCAAGGAGGTTGGTCCTAAACCCTTTAGATACATCAATGCCTGGCAAACAACTCCTCTTTTTTGCCACTCATTGAAAAATTTTGGAAAGAGAATCCTAATGTTGGTGGAATGTTTGGTCTTCATCAAAAGTTTAAAAGGCTCAAAAAGGTTCTACAGGCATGGAACAAAGACACTTTTGGCAACATTTTCACTAATCTATCTCAAGCAGAGGAAAATGCAAACATTGCTGAAATCAACTTTTCTAATGACCCCTCCCCTGCAAATAGATAGATTCTTTCTAAAGCTAAGGCTGAGCTTCAATATGAAAGCAACAATGAGTTAGTCTATTGGAAACAAAAATCTCACATTAACTAGATGGACCTTGGTGACAGAAACTCGAAGTTCTTCCAATCCTATGTCAAGGGCAGAAGACAAATGCTCAAAATTAGAAAAATCAAAGGGGAAAATGGAAGAAATATAGAGGACCTTGAGGGAATCAAGAGAGAAGCTGTGAATCATTTCTCAAAGGTCTTCACTACCTCTCCCATTCAAAACATAGATGAAATCCTAAAGCATATTCCAATTAAAGTTTCAGAAGAAGACAACTACATGCTTCATGCCTTACCTGACATCAAGGAGGTGAAGGAGGCAGTTTGGGCACTTAATCCAAACAGTGCCCCTGGTCCAGATGGATTTAATGGAGATCTTTTCAGGAAAACTTGGCATATTATTGGTCATGAAATCTGTATGGCTTCTAAAGAATTTTTTCTTGGTGTTTCTGTCCCTACAAGTTATGGAGCTACCTGGCTGTCCCTAATCCCCAAAAAAGTAGATACAGCTTCATTTGAAGTCTACAGGCCAATCTCTCTGTCTACTTTTGTTAGTAAAATTAATACTAAGATCCTAGCTTCAAGACTACTCAAGGTCCTGCCTAGGATTATCTCTAGCCAACAAATTGCCTTCCAAAAGGGTAAAGACATTGCTGATCATATTCTCTTGGTGGAGGAAGTGTACCATGAGATCAACAGAAAAGTGGAAGGAGGTAACATGATAATCAAACTTTACTTATCTAAGGCCTTTGACAAATTGAACTGGGAGTATCTGAGGGGTACCCTGGGAGCTTTTGGATTCAATGAAAAAAATCAGAACCTCCTTCTAGCTAACCTGAAAGCCTCAAAATTTTTTGTCCTAGTCAATGGATGTCCATCAGGGTTCTTTAAGATGACTGGAGGGGTAAAACAAGGGGACCCCCTTTCCCCTCTTTTATTCATAATTGGTCTTGAAGGGCTTAGTAGGTCTCTCAACTTTCATCATCACTCAGGTTTTCTCACACACTTCAATGCTGGAAGAGTCCCCATCCCCACCCACCTAGCTTATGCAGATGACCTTGTCATCTTAACTAATGGTAGAGCAAGAAATCTACTTAGGCTCTCCCACATTATTTCAGATTTCCTCCTAGCTTCTGGGCAGAGAGTTAACTATCAGAAGAGTAAATTCTATACGTCCTCATATGTACAGCCTTCAGCTATCTCAACCAAAGAAAGAGCTCTAAAGATTTCACATGACAGAGGTCGGGTACCAATCTGTAAAGGGATACTAAGAAAAGATGACTGTAATTTCCTTCTCCAACACTTTGACAATATGTTATCTTCTTGGTACAACAAATCCCTAAAATCTATGAGGAGGCTCATTCTGATCAAATTCACTCTTACTTCCATTCCATCTCATCTTATGGCTGTTCACAACCTACCAAAATCAATATCTTCTACCCTGATGAAGAGGATGGAAAACTTCCTTTGGGGTTTCAAGGATGGAAAATCTAAACACCATTGGGTCTCTTGGAGAAAGGTATGTCAGCCATTAGAAGCTGGAGGACTAGGGATCAAACATATGGACAATATCCAAGAAGCAAATGCACTGAAGCTGTGGTGGAAAATTAACAAAAACAATGGGGAGTGGGCAGCTTTCATGAGGAAGAAATATTGGAGGGATGGCAACTTCAGTTGCAAACCAACAAACTCTCATACATGGAGGAGAATTGCTAAAGTTCATACACTGGAAATGTTAGGCTCTTTTATAGTCTCTAAATTCCCTTACATTTACTAATCTTTTGGTCACCATTAGTGAGAATTTGGTTTAATTTAAAATCAAGAAAGAACGTTGACCATTCTGTAGGTTGGAGTGCAATTCTTGTGTTATTTTAGGTCCATTGGGTTAAATGTTGGGATCGGGCTAGACGACCCGAAGAAAAAATAACCACCCCGGCCCATTCGTTGAGTACAAGACGTAGGACGTTGGTGAGGAATTCAGGAACGAGGAGAGAGAGAGGAACGAGAAGAGAGAGATGAACGAGAGAGAGAGAGAAGGTGAGATAGAAGGTTCACTGGAAGAAAAAAAACTCCGGCAACTTGGCATCATCCGGCGAGTTAGATCTCGCGATCATCATCATCTGTCACACAATCACCAAGCGATCCTCCAGATCAGGCGCTGTAGGCAAACAAAGGAGTCATCACGTTCGTAGGATTTGATCCTCGAACGCTGTCCAGAGGTAATTTGTTGCTTTTGTTTTCAAATTTGAGTTACATTCTTAATGTTTGAGGAGTATTTGAAATGTTGATTCATAACTGAACATGTGATTTCGTGTTATTCAAATCTGAGTCCTAACATCATGTTCAGACAATAATCTCCTGTGATCATGTGTTTATTTTGTGAATTGACTACCACAATCATGTCCCGAGAGTAATCCCTCTCTTGTCTGGTGGAAATTTAGGATCAGTCCTTAGGAATTTGTGATAATTGCTATGATTCGAGGTTTAGTCAATTGTTGAAGGTTTTTTAACTCTGTTTTGTGCTTAGCTTTTTCGAATCTGTTGATTGTAGGTCTCATGCCTCAATTATTCAGTTTGAAATTCTTATTTGGGGTTCAACAACAGACATAAAGTGTAGTTGGCTGTCCAAGTACATTATTAGTTTGAGATATCCCTAGAGAGGGAATCTCTTTCTGCATCTTCAGGTTGTTGCTCAAAAATAGCAACTGGAGTTTCAGTGGCCTCCAGCCTAGCTATTTGAGCTCCTTCTTCAGGTTCTTCAAAGCTTCTCAGTGCTTCTACTGCTGGTTCCTCCTGAGCTTCTTCCTCTGTATCTTCTGGAGGAGTGGACTTCTCCAGATTCTCTGTTGACTTCTCCAGAATTCCAGGTCCAGTCTGACTGGAGATCTCACAAGTGGTTGTGAGAATCTCTTGGACTTGAAATTAGAGGGATTGCATTAGTTCTTCTTCAGATGATGTTTGATTCTGTTCTTGCTGAGGAGTGGATGCATTCTCCTGGACAGCTTCATGAAGAACAGTATCAAAAGCAGGGGAGGTTTCCGGAAAGACTTGGAAATCTTCTGTTGCGGCTTCCATGTCAGTCTGTGCTTCAGCAGTGATGTTCTCAGCCTGGTTTTCAGTTTGATTACCAGCTGAGTTGATGAACATGGGTGTGTATACAGCTATATAATCATCATCCACTTCATATTCTGAGGGTGGAGAGGTGGTCAAGTGTTCCGCAACAGGTCTTCATTTGTTTTCTACCACGCCCATTCCTCATCCAGAATCTACTCAAAGAAGCAATTGATTGGCAGTCCCAGACACCTCTTGATGATCTTCTCATTTTTAAGTTGTTGATCACATTCAAGCAACTGATATGCAGAGTTTCCAACCTTCCACGCTCTCCAAACATAGTAGAGCTGCAAGAACTTGTTCAATACATTAGTTGGAGCTTGTGATGAGGGAGATGAAAGACTCTAGACTTGAGAGGTTTCTACATCAAGTTGTTGAGGACTGTGGTCCTGTGGAGAGACTTCCTCATTTGGTTCATTCTGCACCAAGTTATCCGGATTGGCATTTCCAGATGTAGAGGGAGGGGAAATTCTTCTCTTCTTCTTCTTCTTCTGAAGTTCTCCTTGAGCAAAGACTTCTTCTTCTTCATCAAGATTAACCACTACAAGGGTGTGTGCTTCTTCAGCACTTGGGGAGGAAGATACCACTTGCTTCCTCTTTGAGGATTTCTTCAGACTCACAATCAGAACATTGTCTGAAGAACCTTCATCTTCTGTAGTAGAACTAGCTCTGTTTTCACCCTTGGTTGACAGATAGTACAACCAATATCTGGCATCATACTTCTTGCCTTCAAAGGCAACACCCAAGGATTCCAGAATATGTCCAAGGTATAAACCTTGACAGAGATACTTCTGCTTGGGCTTCCCTAAGTGCTTGGAAACTGAATTGAAGAAGTGTTTAGCCCAATTTACCTTAGTCCTGGTAATGAGGGTGTTGATGATGAAAGCCCTTTCCTGGGTTATATCATCTGCATGTCCTCCACTACCACATTCTAGACATGCAATGACCAGCTCTAAGAATAATTTATAGTCATTCTTCAAATCGGCCTTCTTTGCTGGGCCAGAGGGGATTTGTCCAGACATCTCAATTGTCTTCCAGTCTAGATTTTTGGACAAGAGCTTCCCAATGTCAATTCCAGAGTTGGGAAGATGGAGCTTCTTCTTCAATTTCTTCTATGAGATCTTCACTTTGGCGCCTCCAACAGTGGACTCAATGACTTGAATCGTCCTTTGTGGATTCTTCTTGGATTGAATGGTTGAGACTTTTCCATTCTTGTAGAATTCAAGAACTTATTCTTCATGCTTGAAGCGAATCTCCATATGAAGGAATTCAGAGAGTACCAGATGTACACTTCCGGTCAACTTTACATCCGACAAAGTCAGAATCTAAGTATCCCACTAACTCAAATGAGCTGCTCTTAGCATACCATAAACCCATATTCTGAGTTCCTTTGAGGTATCTAAGAATCCTTTTGGGTGCTATTAGATGACTTTCCTTTGGCTTTGATTGAAATCTAGCACAAACACCTAATGCATATGAGATATCCGGACGGCTTGCAGTAAGGTAGAGTAGAGATCCAACTATTCCCTTGTAGAGAATTTGCTCAACATCCTTTCCGTCGACATTCATGTCAAGTTTGGTGGATGTACTCATGGGGACAGACACGGATGACTCCTGATCAACTTTGAACTTCTTGATGAGATCCATTGTGTACTTGGCTTGGTTGATGAGAGTCCCTTCACTTCTCTGCTTGATTTGAAGACCAAGGAAGTAGTTGAGTTCCCCCATCATGCTCATCTCAAATTTTCCTTGCATGAGGGTGGATAACTTGGTGCAAAGAGCTTCCTTAGTTGAGCCAAATATGATATCGTCCACCTAGATTTGGACCAATAGGAGATCTTCTCCATCTTGAAGTTTGAACAGGGTCTTGTTAATGACTCCTTTGATGAATCCATTGTCTATTAGGAATGAGACAATGTATCAACCAAGCTCTTGGTGCTTGTTTAAGTCCATACAGTGCCTTTTTGAGTCTATACACTTGATCGCCTTTAGTGTGTAACTCAAATCTTGGAGGTGGTTCCACATAAACTTCTTCCTCTAGGTTTCCGTTGAGAAATGCGCTTTTGACATTCATTTGATAGACTTTGAATTCCTTATGAGCAGCAAAGGCTAGAAATAACCTTATAGCTTCAAGTCTAGCAACTGGAGCGAAGGTTTCATCAAAACCTAAACCTTCTTCTTGACAATAACCTTTGGAAACTAACCGGGCTTTGTTTCTGACAACAACACCGTTTTCATCCATCTTGTTCCGGAAGACCCACTTTGTCCCAATGACATGTTTATGAGTAGGTCTTGGAACAAGTTTCCAGACGTCATTTCTGAGGAATTGGTTGAGTTCTTCTTGCATTGCATTCATCCAATCAGAATCAGTTAGAGCTTCTTCAATGCTTTTTAATTCTACTTGCAAAATGAAACAAGCAAGCATGGTGATGGATATCGGGTCTGATGGACCCGACTCTAGGCCCGATAAAGGCCCACAATCGTGCAAGGTAAGTGAGTCTAGATGCGTGTAACGGATCGGGCCCACCAAGGGGCATGTGAATAACGAGGTGGACGGCCCAATCATGGACTGGATTGAGACGATCCAGTCCGAGAAGGGAACAGGACGCGTGGCCCACACCCCAAGTCGTGGAGGGAATGGAAAGAGATCAAGACCTGAAAGGGAGGGAATCACGACCCCATGATCTCCAAAAACCTTCCCATTATGTGTAACCTTAACTTAGAAACTAGAAGTACTATAAAAGGGGTAAGAACCCGCCATTGTAAGGAGAGAACAATTGATTACAGACCGAATTAAGAATATATTTTGAGACTATATTTTCCGTATTCTTATTCCGTTCTTGGTCCGCTATTTGATCGGGTTAATCCCATCATTGGTGCTTTCATTGAGAGTTAACTGTGAGACGAAATTGTGAGATTATGGCCGGACGAAGGACTAGACGTAACACCGCCGCTTCCGCCCAGTCGACGGTGAGGAGTGACCAGCCTGAACAAGGCATGATTGTTCCAGTCAACGGGCTGGAAACAGTGTTGAATAATGTGGCTAACATGATGGCCAACATTATGGAGCGCTTAGATCAGGCTCTTTCTGTTGGGAAAAATATTATAGATTTTGATGATGATTTATGTAATAGGGACTTTAGGTCTCCCCCAATATTCAATGTAATTTTTCTTTTTAGAAATATTGTTAAAACAAAGTTCTTGAGTTTTCCAATAAAACTGTGATATTTCTTTAAGCGTTTTGATGCCTGAAGACTTGATCAAATTCAGTGATATGAAAATTGGATATCTTGATCGGAAGTGTCAGAAACAAGTAAGGATTTCTCAATCAGATAAAAATCCTCAGATCCGTAAAGACTACATAAGAACCGGATGTCTCGCTACAACCCGCTGAAGGCTAAGTCATTCAAATCGGAAGACTAGCGCGGATCTCCTTCTCACCCGGAAGTAAGACTCATCCGGATTTGTCAGCTAAGAATCGGAAGACTCACCAAAGACCGGAATTCTCAGAAAGCGGACAAGTGAGAAAAGGCTTAGAAAATCATCAAAGTTCTGAATGAAGAAATTCTACCCGTGGCAAGGAAAAATCAATCTCTTGATTTTCAACGGCTAGAATGAAGATAATTAGGCTGATTCAAGAACAAATTACTCGAAGACAAAGTCTGGGTCTCTAAAATTAAAGAGCTTGCCCGGAATTCCTAAACAAGCACTAGAAGACAAACAGAGTAAACTGCTACAGTCTTGAATTCTTGAACAAAAGCTAGAAGACGGATTTTGTGGAAAAAGGAATCCTTTCTCAACAATTGGGTAAATCCAAACACCCACTTCAACGAAGAATCTTCAAATCACAATCTTCATTCAAAATTGAAGCCAGCAAATGCAACGGATAGTCCATTATGATTCAACGGATAGATTATCAAATCCAGCTATAAATAGCATCCTTGGAAGATTGAAGAGAAGATGATGAGATACGTTGATACAACAACACAACGAAGCAATCACTAAAGCTATCTCATTCACAGTTAGCCCAAAAAGCTTGATAAAGAGAGATTTCTAAACTCCTTATCCAGAAGCAAACTTCTCCTCCTTCCAAAAAGCTATAGTGTAAACACTTGAAGGTTTCCTTGCATCAAGCACCACACCACATTGAAGGATATTACTTTTGATCAAACTTATTGATTAAAAGGGGGTAGGTCAACTCTCTTACAAGTTGATCTTGCAAGTCCTATTGTTCGGATCTTGCAGTTGTTGAAGAAGCTTGACCTTCGAAGGAACAACAAAGCCAGCACGAGTGCAGTAGCAACATTGGTCTTGTGAAGATATACCGTGCAGAAATTCACACAAGTGTAACTGTTGGTTCATTATTCAACAACCAACTACATAGTGGATTTTGAGGACGTAGAAGGATTACCCCACCTTCGAACCTCGTTAAAGTTTGCGTGTCTCTCTCTCTTATCTTTATTCTTACTTGCAATTATATTAACTGTGAAAACTAACCTATCCATATTAATTACTGCTCACTCCACCCACCAAATTCCGCACACAATCTAAAGTTCACAAGGACTCTAGATTAACACTCATTTTCTCGTTTTCAAAAGAAACGAAAAAGATTTTAAACTTGTAACAAAGTCTATTCACCCCCCCTCTAGACTTTGTATTTCACC